CCCAATATTTTTTATATATTCCAAAACTGACTTTCGTGGAGTTTCAGGACTTTTGGAGTTGTGCGGAATAGGTCTCTAATATTTGCTCCTTTTCCAGCCCAGAATTCCAGCTGCCGACATTCTCCCTCTTCATGTAAACCTTGTAAAATAAGAGAGAAAAGGCATAAGTATTGTGACATAATGTGTAGTAACAACCCATAATGCAATAAATATTGATATAAAAGCATGATGCAAAATGGACGTACCAGTCACCCTAGGTTATAACTGTTGCATGATGAATGCCATCCGACATAATTATCCATCACTGATCCATTGCCTACGAGCTTTTCGCATATTGATCTTTGCTAAGTTACTTTGTCGTTGCCACTGTTACAATTGCTACAAAACTGTTACTGTTACTTTTGCCACTGTTACCGTTACTTCCATACTACTTTACTACTAAAAAACTTTGCTGTAGATATTAAGTCTTTCATGTGTGGTTAAATTGACAGCTCAGCTGCCAATACTTGGGAATATTCTTTGGCTCCCCTTGTGTCGAATCAATAAATTTGGGTTGAATACTCTACCCTTGAAAACTGTTGCACTCCACTTACTTGCGGATTATCGCGTTGCTCCGTCGCCCAGATCCAGCGTCCACGCACGCGGATCTGACGTCGGCGCCTGCACCAGCTTCGCTGCCCAGGAGCTCTTCACCGGCACATAAAAAACCACTCTTTTGACCTCGAGGTGGGAAAAGAAGGAGAGGAAGCACGCGGTGGGAAAGGAAGGAGAGGAAGCACGCGCTGGGCTGCAGGAGGAAGAACATGGTGGGCTGTCGGAGGAAGAACTCGATGGGCTGTGGTGGGCAGTGATGATATGAAGAGGCAACGAGGGAGGGGAATGAGAGGGTGTGGGTGAGAGTGGGAAGCAAGTGGATGGGAGTGGGCAGGTGGGAGGGCATTTTGCAGAGAACTCGAGAAGTTTCATAACATAGCCAGATTTACACTATGATCGCTAAAACGTCATATATTTCGGTACAGAGGGAGTACAAACAGTACTCAAGATGCCATCCCTATTAACAAGTTGTCAGTCATACTTATAGCAAGTAATGACTTAAAATGTGTAACCAAACAACGAGTTATTATAACTATAGTATATACTTTCACTCTGATTAGAAAAGACAGCAATTTAGTGAACTATTATCCTTGAGACACCTTTGGCAACATAATCAAATTCTCCGTCTCTTAATTCAAATGACTCATATAATTCAAATTCAACTTTCCAAATACTAAAAATTAAACAGTCCCAATGATCTTGAGCCAACACATTTTCTATCTGAAACATAATATATGGTAAATTTCACATGGACATCAGTTGCAACAGAAAAAAATGGATGTTAATTGCACCTACTATATTAAGTCGATATTGTACTCCTCGTACATATAAATTAAAGAACATTGAGCACAATAGTTCCTCTTATGCATTGTATCAAACACATGAGATGTAAACTGTTAAGGGAATGAATGCCTGGAATGTTTTATGTAACAACGGATATGAAAACAAAGCCGAGATGAGAGTTTGCTTGAGGAAATAATGAAACCTGCTGCAAGCATGGTGCACATCGTTGCCCGTTGTCCGACTCGGAGCTAGGTAATCGACTACTAGGAACCTAGCCGACCTCGCAGTAGCAAAGTTTGACTGGTCCGTGTCGCTGGAGTAGTGGCTCTCCTCATACCCGTCAGCCCGTGAGGCGCTAGGATTCAGGTCGTGCACGGGCGGCGTTGGTCGGGCTTAGCGTCGGCGCGACGGTGGGCACCCGCGAAAAGTTCGAGGGTGTCACCCGGGTGCGCGCGGCTGGGCATGCAGTGGTAGGACAACGACCTCCGGTGGCAAGAGCATCACCGACCGCGCCCCCAGCAGGCCCTCCGGGTGACTTTTTTCGCGTCGGCGCCGAAAAAACTTCTAGTCGCGCCCCCAAGACGCCGAAATCAGCTGGCTCGGCCCGTTTTTGGGCCCGACGATCGCAGGCTGAACCCGACGCACTGGGGGCGCTCAGGGGGTCCGGCGCAAGGAAAAAGCATGCCTGGCCCGCACCGTCAGGCGAAAAGTCAAGCTTATCGTCCATATTCGCCTCCCCCCGCGCGAGCTTGTCCGCCACCCGGCTGCGACCCGGCTATCCCGGCGCCGCCCACCGCCCACCACCGCTAGATAGGCCATTCCCCGCCGGAAAAAGAGCAGAGGTTTCACCGAGACAGCCTCTCCACCACTGTCTGGGCCATTTTTTCGGCGTTCCGGCCGCGCAGGGGTGGTGTACCGGCGGGTGCGTGCCCACCGCGCCCGCAAGGTGTTCGGCGATTTGCCTGCCTCGGCAATGGACTAGGACGACGAGGAGGCGCTCACCGCGCTGCTTGAGGAGGAATCCGATGCCGACGTTCAGGAAGAGGAACATCTCATGGTCCTCGCCACCCTCGCTGGCCTGCTAGCGAGCAATGAAAAGCCGCGACGAGGTGGCTCGACGCCCGGGCGGATGAAAGCAAAGAACCGGCATTGTCTCGAAGGCTACTGCATGCCCTACTCCGACTACTTCACCGACGCTCCACTGCATGACGACAAAGTATTTCGGTGCCGTTATCGGATGAGCCGAAAGCTTTTCCTCAGGATTGTGAATTCCATCCGGGAGTTCGACAGCTACTTCAAGTGCAAGAAGGATTGCACTGGCAAACTTGGATTCACCTCGATCCAGAAGTGCACGACAACGATGAGGATGCTTGCATACGGAGCTCCCGGTGATTCACTCAATGACTATGGACACATGGCCGAGTTCACGACCATTGAGTGTTTCTACAAGTTCTACAAGGCAGTGGTGACGGTGTTTGGACTGCAATACTTGTGAACACCCAATGCGGAAGACACTGCTCGGATCCTAGCACAGAATATAGCAAGAGGATTTCTTGGGATGCTTTGAAGCATCGACTGCATGCATTGGAAATGGAAGAAGTGCCCATTTGCTTGGTAGGGGATGTACAAAGGCGCCAAAGGCGGTTGCAGTGTGGTACTTGAGGCGGTGGGCACACAGGACCTCTGGATTTGGCACTCCTTCTTTGGTATGCCAGGAACTCACAATGACATCAACGTGCTGCAGTGCTCCCCTATCTTTGCCAAGCTTGTTGAAGGTCATTCTCCTCCGGTGAACTTCGAGGTCAATGGGCGGCACTACAACAAGGGGTACTACCTAGCTGATGGCATCTATCCGAGATGATCTACATTTGTGAAGACTATCTCAAACGCTGTGCCAGGAGGCAAGAAGTCCCACTTTGCCAAGGTTGAGGAGGCTTGCAGGAAGGATATCGAGCGGGCATTTGGTGTGCTCCAATCTCGATTTGCTGTTGTCCGGTACCCTGCTCAGACCTGGTCGAAAGATCAAATGTGGGAGATCATGACTTGCTGTGTCATCTTGCACAACATGATCATCGAGAGCGAGCAGGAAGAACCAGTGTTTGACACTGAACCATACTACAGGTAGGGTCCTCTAGCCGAAGTTGATCACCAGCTACCGGCAACCTGGACTGCCTACCTCAATATGCATCGGGAGATCCGAGACCCACAGGTGTATCATCAACTACATCAGGATCTGGTGGAGCACCTATGGAGGATCAATGGCGACGCCTAGCTCGACGTGTGATGAAATATGAGTTTTTATTTGTTGAACTACATAATTTGTATTGAACTATTTGTTGTTGCATATTTTGTTGAACTATTTGATTTTCTGTGATAAAAAATTATTTATGTTGAGAATCCAACGCTGAACCACTCCGAATATGGGCCGATTCTCGCCGATATTGGGCCATTTTTCGCCGAAAGTGGGCTGAAAAGCGGCCATGATTGGGCCGATATCGGCGCTTGGGGGCGATCTGGGGGCGACGGCTGGATGCCCAACCGCCCCCGAGCCGATTCTCACCGTCGGCTTGCCCCCAGGCGGCAATTTGTATGCCTCCTGGGGAGGGGGCAACTGCTGGAGATGCTCTAACCCAAGAGGTGGGTGTCGGCCACGGTGGCTGCACGTCATTCTCGCTGAGGAGCACGTTGAGACGCCATCACAGGGAGAAGACGGCGTAGGGAGGGGTGGAGGGTGAAGTAGGCTCGACCGTGGGTGCTCAGGCAGCAGCGCCCCCGTTGGTGTCGGGCTCGCGAGATGTGTAATTCACGTCTGGCAGGTGGGAAGTGAAATTGAAACTTGTGGAGTCGAAGGAAATTGCTAACGCATATCACTATCAATCTATCATGACCGTCTGTCTAGAATCATATGTCAATTTGCATGGGCGAACGAGAGGGCTCCGTTTTGGTTTCCCCCTAGGGCATTCGACCCAGGAGCAGCCCACACGCGAGAGCAGACGCATCATACGATCGAGAATGACCAGGCAACGAAATCTGATGGCCAGTATCGTGAATGTCCAAGAGAGCTCCTAGAGCGCTCAGTTTTACTGTCCGTAATAATACTCATTTATTTGGTTATCCTTATCGTCTCTTGCTCCCCAACCAAACAAGTGACATCCTCAGAAAATTAGTTATCCGTGTACCTGTGGTGGGCGTCAGGATCCTCTGCAGTACTGTACGGTGCTGTAGTGTCACTGCCATGTGGACCCGGCCCCACATGTCATCCGCACTACAGCACCGTGTATTACAGCAGAGGATCTCAACCCCTGTGGTGGATAACCACACAACCAAACGCAACCTACCCCGCCCCTTCCCCTGAAATGACCAAACGCTCCCTTAGTTGATTTTCCCAGAATGCTTTATTGAATATATAAAGCTCTATAATGTTTTCCTGAAAAGAAAAGGAGAAAGTGGTCCTGGTACAGGGAGAGGGGAGGGGGAGAGGGGACAGGGGAGAGGGGGGAGAGGGGAACGACGAGTGGGTCCCGCATATACCAGGCGCCGCTCCCCCCAAATCGAGGGCAATCCTCGCGTTTGTTCCCCAAAATCCCTAGCGAATCTCTCTGCTTCGTCCTGCATCCAGCGCAATGGAACGGAAGGAGGTCATGGACCTCGGCAGCGGCGAGCCCAAGGAGATCATGGACCTCATCAGCGGCAAGCCGATGGAGACCATAGGCCTCGGCAGCGGCGAGCTCGAGGACTATCCCTTCGTGAGGCGGCTCCGCAACCGGCGGCTCCTCGTCTACCTCTGGCTCCAGGGCTTCGACGCTGCTTACGATAGGTACGCCCGCCTGCGAGCCCGTCGTTTCACTCGCTCATCTCCATGCTGCTAATGGGTCCCTGCCGTGTACGCAATGCGGCGTCGTGCACGAGTCCGGTGTGCAGATGAGCAGGCTGCATTTGCGGCAGCTGGTGGTCTGGGGCCGGTGGAGCGAAGCCCTCGACTACATAAGTCGCTTCCTGCCGCCGGTGCTCAACGACTGGAGCCTCGATGCCCGTTCCCTCCTCTTCTTCCTCCACACGCTCTGGGCTCTGGCCAACGTCGCCGCGTGCTCGACGGGCGGCCTTGTGAACGACTCTGTGCACAGCGACCTCAGCTTCCTGGGGACACTTTCCAGTACCAACGCCAAGCTCTCCTCCATCCTACGATACACACTCCACTCGCCGCAGTTCAGGTACTAATAAAATAGTTCGAACTTCGAAATACTGTTCTACTTGTTGCTCTTAAGCCTTAGATTAGATGAATCGTCTCTTGTAGGGAGTCTCTGGACTGGATGCTGGTGAGGAAGAAGGCATCGTTGATTGTCGATGACTGGGCTCTTGAGACTCCGGAATTGAGGCGCAAGATGCAATTGCCCGGTGGTCCAGGTCTCCCGCGGGACTTGCTTCCCATCGGGTGGGTTCCTGTATTCATTCATCCAATCTTTTACTGTTTGGCCCACGTTTTAGTACCAACTACATGTTAATCTGATCATCCCACACATGATCTTGTTTAATATGCTAGCCCCCTTTGCCCAAGGCGTCACCGGAGGGAACAATCCCGGCGGGCAAAAGCATCTACGATTGCCAAGTCTTATCTCAACAGGAAGAGGAGGTACTTGCAACTTGATTTTGCCAAGTCCTCAATTCCGCAGTGCTGTCTCTTTTTCACTTGTCATTCACACATATTCCTTGCTTCATGCAGTCTGCCGCCTACAAGCCCACATCCTGGTATGAAATCTTCGCATGACAGCAACATCCCTCTCTTAACCTCCGGATATGTGCGGCAGTTAATGTTTGCTATGTTTTGAACAGCAGGATTGCCCAAAGATGCACTCAGACGGGTGGCAGATCTTATTGGTAAAGCGAGTCTCTGACCATCTAATTCCAGTTTGTAATGAACATATCTGATAATATATAGTCCTCTGATGTTGCTTTGTTTGCGGAAAACTCTTTTCTATCTGAGTTTCTGTTGCTAATATATGTGAGTCTCTGACCATTTAGAGGGATGTTTAAGAGCTGGTAAACTTCTGGAGCTCCATCAAGGGTGCCCGCTTCAATCAAATGCAAAGGGAGGTAATTTAACTACTTCACAGTTGTCTTACCTTGGATAACGCTGTACAAAGTTGAGCTAACTCATCTGACGTTGATGCCTTGTATCTTCCTTGTTAATTTTCTACTTCAGCTTTGTTTGTAACCATTTCTCTGCTCTGCACAGATTTTATCATTGTTGCTTTTGTATTGCTTGGCTAGGTTTATGCTTGGGAATATTTCATTGAAGTGTCTCATACATCATGTAGTCTCACGCTAGTTGTGCTCATCCCTTGCTGTTTTGTTCCTAAGCTCCTTGTTTGCCAAGCACCTCCTTATTTCTGTATTCTCTGTTATTCTTCTGTTGGTTGCTCACATGTTATATATGTTATATGCACATGGGCATGTTAATTCATAACAGCTGGACGTTGTTTTTTGCACGTTAACAATGTCTGGCGACCTGCAATCTAGAGAAGTCCAAATGTGCTAGTGAGGGACCATTTACACAATTGAGGGCCTCTTTGATTCGTAGGATTTTGAAAACGTAGGAATAGGAAAAGTGTAGGGTTGGAGTGGCATGCCCATTTGAATCCTATAGAATTAGCAATGATTGTTTGATGCCACGGGAAAAACAAAGGAATTGTAAAAAGAGGTTGGAGTGGATGTTAAATTTCCTATGAAGGGCTCCTTTGATTCAAAGGAATTCTATAGGATTGAAATCCTTAAGAATTTTTTTTATGTTGGTCCTTTGATTCATAGGATTGGATCCCATAGGAATTTTTCCTATGGAATCTTTTGTACTACATTTCATAGGAAATCTAACATCCACTCCAACCTCTTTTTACAATTCCTTTGCTTTTCCTGTGCCATCAAACACTCCATGCTAATCCTGTAGGATTCATGTGTGCATGCCACTCCAACCCTATACTTTTCCTATTCCTACGTTTTGAAAATCCTGCGAATCAAAGAGGGCCCAATGTAGTACAAAAGATTCCATAGGAAAAATTCCTATGGGATACAATCCTATGAATCAAATGACCAATATAGGAAAAAATCCTAAGGACTTCAATCCTCCAGAAATCCTATAAAATTCCTTTGAATCAAAGAAGCCCTGATAATGTGCTAGATACATGATTCGCCTTACAAGATCTAGGCTAGAAAACTCCCCCTAAGTTCTCTGATACAGTGCCAAATTTTGTATCCATGTCCGTTTGTTGCATTTTTAAGTGCCCACGTGATGCCACTTCTAACGAACTGGTTGCAGGTGCTTCTGATACTCCACTTCTGCAGACCATGTTTGGTACCGTAACAAATCCTGCTAAAAACACTGGGACCTCATCAGTGACAAATGCAGGTAAATTAGTTGGAACTTGGAACACAGTGCTTAACTACATGTCCTTTCTAACTGCAACATTTGTTTCAGGTGCTGCCGTCTCACGGCCTATTAAAATCCCTTGGATCACATCTCCCACAAATGCAGGTAAATTAACTGCATACTCAACTGTTCTCATACCATGAGTAACTCCTGCACATATTGATACCTGAAATTCTTAGTTGTCACTTGTCAGAGAAACTCCATCACTGATAATAATATTCTACCTGCCGGTGTTTTATAACCACCTTGTTGATATTCTGCTGTCTGCGTACCTCTTGGTTCCTGTGGTAAACTATTATCTGAAACTGTGGAGTTTGCTGACTTGCATCTGTCAGCTGTTTGCTTTCTTCTACTTTTGTATGCTCATAATAGTTGCAAGATTGCACTTGCATCTGGGAGCTGATAAGCATCTGTACCACAAACCGAATGCTGCATGTGCATGCTCATTTTATGGTATAGACCTTGCTATGTTCCACCATCTCATAAAGATTGAAGTTGAGTTTAGCCTCTTGATTTCTGGTCTAAAAGCCCTTCCAGCAGATTCTGAAATGTTTGACTGTTAAGATAACATATTGTGTAAAGACTTAATCGAGGAGTGTTGATAATGCTTATTCTGGTTATCCTAAATGGTATTGATGCTTGGGCAGGCCCAATCAAGCATTCTAGAAAAGATGGGTGCTATAGCAACAGTGCTGGTCAGGGTTCTGTTGGAAGAAAAAAAAGAGAAGATTTGATGACTGAGGAAGATGATCCTGATAGAAAAAGGCAACGGACTGAACTGGTAATGCTTGGTATACATTGTTTTAGTTTTATTAAGTCTCCTTTGGTTCATAGGATGCGAATATCATAGGAATAGGAAAGTCATAGAAAATGCGATGACATGTATCTCAATTCCTACAAGGAGAAGATATGTCATTTGTTTCATAGGACTGGAGTTTTTCCATCAGTTCTGAGTTAATGTTTTTTTCCTTTAAAATGTGAAGGATAGGTATCAATTCTACATAGGAATAGGAATCCATTCCTACAACCAAAGGGCTCAAAAGAATTTTTTCCTAAAGAATTCGTGTAAACCAACTTTTACATAGTTTCTTGCCAGAATATCCATCTTAGATTTGCGCTTTCACCAGTTCATTTTACTGGATAATTTACTGGTCCTTGATGTTTTGCCAGGTGCTTCACCACTCATCAGTAGGTTTTACCTTTCCCCATCCATGAAAAATATCAGCACCTTTCTAGCTTTGTACTGCATCTTTTTAGGGCAAAAAACAGCTAGCTATTTGGACACAGTTAACTTGATGGAGTACTTGTTGGAGTGCAGGAGTTGCTGACTGAAGTGGAAGCTGGATCTTGCGGCCAGTTGCTGACTGAAGTGGAAGCTGGATCTTGCGGCGCCAACTTGATGGCCAACTGAGCGGGCATTACTTGGTGCTCCTTCGAGTCGATCTGCTTCAGGTTGTGTTGGAGCATCGAGCTATGTTATGTTATAAACTTGAGATTTCCAGGTCTCCTAGCTAGAATAACTTCTACTAGTGTTATGTTATCACCATGGAGAGCGACACTACAACTCTGTTTCTAAGTGTGTGTTGTGTTAAGTTGCAAGGGGATCGTGAATCAGAACCAAATCAGTTCTATTATATATCATCGACCATGTCAGTTTTTGTTTTGTTTTTTATTTGTTTCCAGTGATGCTTGTTGTTTGTTGAGGTCTTCTGAAGAACAATAACAAAATTTTACATTTGATGCAGAAGTTCTGCTATGCATTCATTTACACTTACTGCTGGAGAATCTCCACAGATTTTATAGGCCATGTTGTGCTTCCCATGTGCTTTAAATTCTTTTTTGAGGAACACTCTGTTTTAATATGGGTGTGGACGATGGATTATAGAAGTTGTGTACACATTGTGAAACTCTACTCTAATGATGTTCCCTAGCTTGTAATCAATTCTAGAAACGTGTCACTGATGGTATTTCATCAACAACATTCACATTGCCTACCGTTTGCCGTGGTTGGTAACATGTTTGCTGTAATCCAGTCTGTACCATGTAGTCGTACTTTTTATCTAGCTGCAATACATGTGATTTGATATTTACATTGGGTGTTTATATCACAAAAGGAACATTACATCTGCATCTGTAGATCTGCAATGTATAAAAACTCAATATTCATTCCCAGTGAAACCAAACCAGAACATGGCCATGTCAAAAAAAACAAAAAACAGAACATGGCGGTTGCATTTCAGTAATAACTAGAATGTTGAACACTGGTTAAGTTGCATTTAGACTATAACTCGAATGTAATTATAGCAGCACTTCAGTAAAACACAATTCAACGTATCAAATCAGCCAGCCAGGCCTAGAGAAACAAGGACGCAATTCAGCACAGAAGTTTTCGTCGGGATTCACAATCAGACAAGTTGCCCTGAACGTAGCAGGATATTACAGCCCACTGAAGAAGATGGAGGCTCATATGAATGGCAAAAATTCTTGGCTGCTCCATGAGACAAATGTGGACAGCCTACTTTACTGCTGATGCAGGGAATCAGTGGACTGGTGGCCAGTGGCTTGAGGTGCTTCCTGATTTGCTTGAGGTGCTGGAATCGTCCCAGCATCTGCACCTTGAGGGTAAAGATCAGATACAAACATCACCCTGTCATCTGCCTTGAACAGATCATCCATACTCCATTGGTCTTCAACAAAGCCCACGCCATGCTGCGACACAGAAGTTTCTGTCTGCTGACCTTGCATAACTGTAGGAGGATACGCACCTTGCTGTGGTGCTACTGAAGAAGTTTCAGTTTGATGATCATACGCGGCTGAAGGAAAATACACATCTTGATTCATGTGGGTCGCAGAAGTACTGCTGGATGGATTCAGAGGAGCTTGCGGTACGAATGTCGACGGAGCTTCATAAATTGTCATTTCTGGATTTGTTGTTGCTGAGGAACCAAGGAGAACATGGTCAGTCCACTGATGCTTCTGCTGCCCCGGCATCTCCCACAAGCGACGTGAGGACTGGCCTGTCATGTCCCACGAGTGACCTGGGTGGCCTGGCATCTGCCACGAGTGATCTGAGGACCGGCCTGTCATCTCCCACGAGTAACCTGAGGACTGGCCCGGCATCTCCCACGAGAGACCTGAGGATGGCTGTTGCTGGAAATCCCAGTTTTCTTCCATATGTCCCGGCTGCGTCTGCTTCCCAAGATGACATGGACTCTCCCCAAGTTGACTTGAAGATGACCCGAGACCCCAGTTATCCATATATTGATGTTGCAGATGTTGCCCTGGCATACCCATGAGCTGACTTGGAAATGATTGCTCAGAGGGCCCCCCATCATTGCCCATAAATTGCGGCCCAAGGTTGCGCCGCACCTGCCGCACACTGTGTGTTGTCATCTTATCTTGGTGCAGAGTCATGCTTTCAATCTCCATGATAACTTGAAACAACTCAGACTGCGCCAAATCAAACCTAGAGCGGTCATCAAGCATTTCACCGAGATCCACGGTAAGGCTCCTGGCTTTGTTGAACAACTTCACTAAACCCATGTTTCTCCCCAAATTGATGGTAGACGCAATGTTATTCCCTGCCATGCTTGAATTGGCGGAAATATCCACTTCTTTCCCAGCCATGAAGTTCCTTTTCACACCGGACCCAGCAACATTATCCTTAGTAGCATCAACTTGCTCTCTCTGAGGATGAGCATCCGTTACCTTCCCAGGGCCTAATAGTGTACGGCATCTATTCTTGACATTGACCGTGCCATTTTTGCACTTGTCGAGGTGACTCGGAAAAAACTTATTAGGCTTTTTCCCAAAGACCTCGTGGCACATTAGACATCTATACTGCTCATCTTCGGGTAGTGAAAATACAAAAGCTCGAAATTTCCCATGAGCTGTTGGTTTACCAATGTGCCTAAAAATAATGATAGTACCAAATGAGAGGTTAAGAAACCAATGCAATGAACAAGGCAGTATCAGACCATCAGTAGCAACGCTGAGAGAAGAGAATAGCAAACAACTTACTCAAATAACTCTCTGAGGCAGAGGCTCATGTAATCTTGCATGGCAGTCAGTACATCATTTGAATGAAAATTGATCACCCTACATCAAGTTTAGAGACATTAATAAAAAAACTGAGCATTGTTAACTTCAATCATGCTTAAAAGGGCACAAGTTCAGACAACTTAATCTGAAAACTGAGCATTGTTAACTTCAACCATGCTTAAAAGGGCACACCTAGCTGAACAGCATTAAGGATGAATAGATAGCAGAAAACTCAGCCTTGCCTGAATTAAAGGGTGCAACTAGCTGAAAAAACCTAGGTTGAATCAACATAAAGAGAAAAGGCAAAGGACAAACTGCAGCATCATACAAAAATAGGAAAGCATGACACTAAAAATGCAGTCAGGATAACCACTGCACACTGCATACCCTGGCTGACTTCTGTAAAGACATGCCAGAAGATGCAATATCGTTCCCTGGCTAATCAAAGCTCACCCCAACAAAACAATATACATGCTTGAACATTTTCATAAATTCACAGATATGACCTCAAGAGTAACATGGTGAGAATATAAATAATACAGTATACCTAACTAAACAAGGTTAAGACTGACTGTTCTAGGCAACTACAGTAAACGAAAATTCAAACGCATCAAACATAACTAAGAGACAGAAACCACTGATGAGAGCTTCAATCTGTCAAAATGTGAAATCGCGACAATGTTAGCTGCTTGCAACTGAAAGCAAGACTACATTTATGTCTACCTGATATAGAACATTCGAGCATAAAAAACATAACCTAGAAGGAGCATCGCCAATATGGAATCCACAAAAACAAAGCATGGTTCACTGAAGATATGTTCCTATAAGGGGCAATTTTACTTACTTCTCTCCTTTTATATGGTCGGCAATATCTATGACCATCTTGTCCAAATTTGCAGTATTCGTAAACTCATTCTGCAGTCCCTTAAGGGGTAGCACCTTTTCTTCGAAATATGGAAGAGCATCATTATTGTCAAGGCTCAATAACAGTGATCTCCGACATAGTAACCACAGGTACGGATGCTTCTTGTCAGTATGCCCCATACGCCCCAGAGACTCTGTGAAATATAATTCAAGCATATCCCAATGTTCTTCTTGCACATACTGCCGGACCTTATTCATATCAAACCTGCAAATGACAGGCATAATAATATATATAAGGCAATCATGGATATCATAGAGTTCGAGGACAGATCAACATAACTGCAAGAATTTTCATTACTGGTGTGTACAGATATCTGAAAATGCTACCAATACAAGATAACTCAAGTAAATACCAAAGAGGCACATACATGGCATGTCAGCAAAGCAAATTGATCAACAGAGAATAGGTTATGTTACACTTAACATGTAAGCACTGAATCAAAAGTTCTAAACATATCTCAAGATGACCCTAAACACTAGATTTTGATCCTTATACATGATGCGGCATTTGTAGCACAGACCCAGGCATGACAAAAATGAAACCTGTTCAAGAGCAATGCCCCCTGTTGATTTTCCCCAAACCTATTCAAGCACAGCATGCAGGCAAGGATTACATGTACCAGACCTGGATTAGCCTTATTAAGAGCAACCCAAGTCAGCTGCTGCTGTCTTGAGTTCAATGGCCTCTCGCATCATTGTCATGTTATCACCTTAACCCTATTCAGAGCGTTCAGCCTACTTGTGTCAGTTTGCAGGAAGAACAGAGACTTTATTCAAACAGATTAATTGGAAGAAAAAGATCCTGTCCCCAGGATACAGTTTTTCTCCTGGCTGGCAATTCAAGGGAGCTCGGTGGATTAGCCTAAACCTGTCATGCCTTCTTTTCATTTCCCCCTGTGTTTCTGTACAGATTATACTATGTAAACCAGCTCTTGGCAAAACAAAACTGAAAGAAAAATTTGTCAATCAAAACAAAAACACCAAAGGTGAAACCCTCAGTTACTAATCGCCACAGCAGCCAGTGTGAATCCGCCGCCCGAGCACGCTAACGGGTTTGCGAAACTCGATTCAGCCTTCACACCCTTCCCCTCCATAGACATGGGCTGCTATTTTCACCCACGATCTAAACTTTTGGGCCCGCTAAGGTGGGATTGGGCCCGTTTAGCCGTAGCCCGCGGCCTAAACAGGCCACGGCTGTGACTGCGATCATGTCGCCGTCGCCGTCGTCTCCGCCGCTGCGCCCTTCGCCTCACGCACGCTACCTAAGCTACGCACTCCTACTCGTCCGCCAGCCATCCAACCAGCCTGCGACGCTGCCTCCCCCACCCCCAGCGAGGCATCCGCTCATGGTCTCTCACCTCGCCCTCAAAGCTGCTCCCACGGCTCACGCTACCTACGCACTACCTGCTCGCCCGCCGCTCCAGCCTCTCAAACCCCCAGACGCCG